AGAGTCCTCCTGATACTTTACAGTCCCGGAGATGAATTAGTATTGGTCCTTAAAATGTGTTTCAAATCTGGAAGAAATGATAAATTAAATACCATTTTATATGGCAAAAATTATACTACAATACATTTGAAAAAAATACAAATAGTGGAGAGGACAAATAAAAAGTCAGTGACTCTACAAAGTAAAGCTCCACGGATTCATTCCAACCCCAGTCAGTAAACGCACATGACAGAGGCCCTGCCATGCTGTGCAGAGGTAACAGGTTGGGTCTGGGAACACCGGTTACGTTTTTGTGGAGCTGGTAATCCATGCAGCTCTATACCAAGCTCCCATTCACTTGCCCTTTCAGTGTTAGCACTCCTGGGAATAACCCAAGTGTCTCTGCTCTCATTTTAAAGTGAACTTGGACTAAAGATAACTCAGAGTTGCCTTTGATAGAACTCTAATGGAACTGGAAAGGAGGCTGGAAAATAATTTTGCATTTATCTCAGAAGTGGTTTTTTTGTGGTGTGAAACATTTCTCTTATCCCTTGTCTTTTCTCACTGCCTTTGTTAAAGGTAATAGAAACGTTCAAAATTATAATCCTGAAAATATGCTAAAAACAAGACGAATACCAGAATATACCTGAATTTGTAATGTAAGCTGGTTTGAAATTTAAGCCGACTATGAAAAATATCATTCTACATCAGGAAAGTACTTCATCTTACTGACTGAGGAGGTGTCTAGAATATTGTGCTCAGTTCTGCACCACTTAACTAGAAATATTTGGAGAGTGCTTAGAGACACCAGAATAGCCAGGAAATGTCTGAGCAAAAAAATGAAAAAATAAAGGCTAAAGAATTCAGTAAGTAATGATGACCAAAGCAGAAAGCAATAGGCTGCAGATGTCTGCAGGGTATAAACAGAGAGGATGGATAAAAATATTTAATGTAAGGCACAGACATACTTAAGTGTAGGCTGAATAGCCAATAAGTGTGGCAGAATAGGGGCTAATATTCAAAAGGAAGTAAAAAGATTATGTAAGTCTCTAAAAATTAGATTTGGCAAAAGGATATGAAATATGCTACTGGACAGAATATAATATTGGCAGGGAATTTGTACTAAGATGTATTCTGAATCTGTTACAATATAATCAAATGCAGAGCTCAGTCTGGATTCCTGTGTGTCGGTTTGAGTCTGCAAGTGTAGAATTTGGCCAGCTGGGTATTTATCTAGTTTCTGTAATCATGTCTTTTACAAATGCAAACATTCATGCAAAACCAGGAAAGGTGTGTATTAACACTTCTAACAAAATCATCCCCCCGTGTTTCACTGAAGTCTTAGACTAGGTACTACACAGGAGTCAATGAAACTGTCCAAATTTTTATTAACTTCAAGTAAGTTCTTATAATGTCTTTTCTGTGTTGACTACGTATAATCATAAAAAATATGGTTTGGGAAAATAGTTGTATCTGTTATTTTATGCAAGCTTGTCTTGCTTGCTTTCTATTTTTCTGTTGTTTCTTTGATGCTCATGTAGCAGGGGGATTTCATTCAGCAACTTTAGAACTGCTCATAAAGAGAAGGGAAAATAAATATTTGTGACCCTTAGGTGGTGAGCAAGCTGAAGGCTGAATTCCCAGCTGTTTCTGACATGGAGCTTTCAGGCAGGAAGGGAAAGTGAAAATCGGTTTGGGCAAAGATTTTTTTTTCTTTTTTTTTTTTTTTCCTGTCAATAAAGGTGGAGTGTAGAGAGAAAAAGAGCTTTTGGTATGCCCCAAACATAGGGACAAAGGTAGACAGATATTTTTAATCAGATGCAGTATTAAGAGAAGCTCGGGAATCTTTTTGGCTCTATTAGGGGAAAAAAAGAAACTACGAAACATTTGGGAACGGATTGTGTCATCAGGGTGTTGCCCAGCCTGTGGAGTAGTGAGCTTATTTAACATGCCCACGATGTGGTAGCGCTTTACTAAACAGGGAGAGCAATCAGCTCTATTGTGGTTTTTATATAAATTAGAGGGTCTGAGTGTTCATTTATTTACACTTTGTTCTCTGGTATGTAAAACTAAGCATTAACACTAATATTGGGCTTGTCTAGAAGCTTTAGTCTTACTAGGGGGGAAAGAAGTATAAACCAAGAAGCAAACAAACCCCAAAGTGTTTCTCTTTGGTACCAACATTTTAGGCCTAGCTTCTAATGTCAAATATTTCTTCCAAGCTACCTAAATAGCTTGGTCTGTGGACTTGAGTTTTCGTGTGATCACGTAACAGATTTACGTTGTAATTGTAGCCACTGTTACTCAGTGATCACTTTCTAAATGCTGGAAAAATACTGTAAAAACTTAAATGCTTTGAATTTTGCGTGCTCTGGAAAAAGAGATAAATACCATCCACTGCTGAGCTGTGGTCATCTATATAATGATGTAGAGAAAACTTTGACATCTTGTTTATTTAAAATTCTGTTGAGCAGGAAGCGCAGGCTTCAGGGCTTTTGGGGACAGGTGAGTCTTAGTTTATCCAGGCTCAGGCATTGAGGTCCAGAGAATACTGGCGCTGAAGAAAAAAGTAAGACTGAAGATTTTTCGGAAGGTCATATTCACAGACTGTTTGATGTATACACCACTTTCATTTCCTAAAGAAATTGGGGATTTTTAATGTCCCTGTTTGCCTTTGTCAGTCCAGCAATTAAACTGAAAGAGGGTAGATTTAGACTGGATATAAGGAAGGAATTTGTTACAATGAGGTTGGTGAGGCATTGGAACAGGTTGCCCAGAGAAATTGTGGATGCCCCCTCCCTGGAAGTGTTCAAGGCCAGGTTGGATGGGGCTTTGGGCAACCTGGGCTAGTGGAGGGGGTCCCTGCCCATGGCAGGGGGGTTGGGACTGGCTGGGCTTTAAGGTCCCTTCCAACCCAAACCGTTCTGTTGCACTGTGGGAACAGCAATTTGGGAGACAAATCTATAGGCAGCTAGGTTTTATGGAACAAATTTCTTGTTTTGCGTGCAAGCCATGGGTGTAAAGGTAAACCTGAAATCTAAATTGCATCTCTGAGAGCATTGGCATTTTGGACAGAGTAACGTAGCCACTGGCAAATTCACCAGAGTGGAGCAAATCTAGTGACCCAGCTGCAGCTTCCTGTGCATACAGGTGAGGCCACCGTGGTCTCTGCTGCTGAGAGATTAGGCCTAGAAATACTTCCAGTGTTGAACCCTCTAGATATTTTCAGCATTCAGTGGCTGCACAGAGCCACGTGTTGCAAACAGCGGGGTAAAAGGGCCCTAAGCGGCAGAGCCAGGCAGCGTGTGAGGGATAAGGGAGCACAGGCTTTGCCGCAGTGCAAGCTCGTGGCCAGCCTGTGCAGCCGAGGACTGTCTTTGCTTGGAGAGTAGCCCTTGTCCTCCAGCCAAACTCTGTCTGCTGTGCATGTTGGCTGTAGCAAAAATTAAAGCTGGAGCTAGCGTGTGAGGAAGCATTAACTAAGAAGCAAATGTGCTGTTGATAATGAATGTAGTACTAGGAGCGTGGATAATACTTCTGTTCTTCCTGAGCTGGATGACTATAAAATATATGCACTGTTGGACTGAATAGCTGTGACATTGTTTTAACTTCTATGACAAAATATTGTGCATCCTACCAAACAAGATCTGCAGCTGCAGAAGCGTGGGTTGTCTAATGAGGGGGTGCAGAGGTATACATGCTTTGCATCTGATGTTATTGTTTGAACCTGAGCTTTTGAGGCCTAACATTTACTGGTAGCTAGACAAGTGCCTACGTGAATCAGTGAACAACTCTGACAATTTTTCTCCTTGCTGATGGGATCCAATGGAGACAAGCTTGACTAAGCAGGCACAGCAAAGTGGCCCAGAAATGAACTGGAACAGGATCTGAACTGCTCTGTCACCCTGAGAGATGGCCTGTCGTGCTCGGAGCTGAGGCAGCTGTGTGGTTGTGTGTGTGACACTGCAGAACGGCTACCCGAATCCTTGCGTTGTGGCTAACAAACCTCAGTTTCTCACTGTACTGGCTCATCAACGATCATGACATCACAATAACTTAACTGGATAAATATGAAGAGATTTTAAATGCATTTTAGAGTCCCTTTGTTTTTACTTTGAGTTCTGTTATACTCTGAGATCTTACCTCGTCATACTTGGTGTTTCATAAGCAGATAAAGTGTTAGGCAAAAATGCAAGAACCAGCAAGTTTTCTATTGAATCCTGTCTGACCAAAATCCAGGGAAAAATATCATATGCAGCAGTAGTGTGTTAGTTCTATTTCAATTGGCCTGGGGTTTTTTTGACCTTCAATTAAAAGAAATGCAGGATTTTATTTCTGTTAACTGCAGAATAATGAGATCATTTAGCTGTTTAGTAATAGTAACCTCTTTCATCAAAGTACAGTCTAATTAACAGCTAATAATGCAGAATTTCATATAGAATCCTGAAAAAAAGCATGCTAATTACTTTATTAAATAGTATTGGCACCAAGTATTTAAAGCCTTCAACTTACCTTGCCACAATTAACTTATTAGCTGCTATCTCAGCCTCCAAGATGTGAGGAGCTGTTGAAGGAAGTTAGAAATATTTCTTAAATCTCTTGCTTGTACAAATGATTTACCTAGATGAAAGAGCCTAATTACGTGAAAATGTATAATTGGACCATCATCAAGATCATTTTTGTATGTGATATAAAAAAACTTCCCAGGAAGACTGAGTAACATTAAAACAGTGTGTTCTGATGAAAAAACTTTTTGCTCAAAATCATTTGAGACAGTTTCCAAAGTGGCTACTTATATTTTTAGTATCCTTTAGTGGACCTCAAATTCAGATACCTAGTTACAGCATCTGTGTACATAAAATAAAGTTGTGGCTCCTGAATTTTTTGACACTGAAAACCCAAGATGCATGTAGTTGGGCTCCAGCCTGATCTCTCATCTTATTGACACTTTGAAGAGAAGCTGGGTTAATGGGGCTTATTGAATTTATTGAAAAGACTCACACTGACTTCAGCTGGGGAGTATGGGCCTTAATATTATAGGAAGTCAGGTAAGATACTCAGGCAAATGGTTCTGGCAAACAGTCCAAATTAACCCGAGCAGTCAGTGGGAGCTTTGCTTGTCCAGCACGTTAAAGAGTTGGGTTCCAAGACATCCCTGCTTGATAATTTAAAAAACACAATTGCTGTAGGTAGAATCTAGCTGTCAGTAAATGACTATACTTTTTAACTAACTGAAACCACGTACGTTGTTTCATTTCCAAGGAATTTTTGCACACGTTTTCTGTTTTAAATTCTACCATGTTGCATGGCCCTTTGTAAACAGGCTTCCTGCTGGCATGTGGTACTCTTGAACTGTTACATCTTTTGAAGGACTTGGTAGACTTATCAAAATCCATGGTTTTAATTGAAAGAATATTTTTTTTCTTGAATCTATTGTGTCTTAGTAAATGAGTCCCCTCCATTTTAATTTTGTTGTACAAAGTAGCAGGAATAGTTGTCTTCAGCTCCCATGGAATCTGATATTTTATAAACTTGAACATAGGTATTGTCAGCAGTTTAACTTTTCCATCCCTGTTTCATCAGTCTTTCTATTTTTGCCGGATTGTGTCCTCTTGAACACCTTGCTTCCACCAAACTGCAGAGCAGTGTCATTTCCCCACTTACACAGTTTAGGGTCTATTTATAATTTATGGTCTCTGCCAGCCAAACGCTTTGCTGAAAAAAATGAAGATTTTCTTTGTTTTCTTCTCTTGGCCTCTCTGTAGTGTCAGGTCTATTAAGAGAGTGCACAAAGAAAATTTAAGCATTCTTCCCCTTTTGTCTGATGGATATTCAAAATATTTTTTTCAGATGTACCCAGTACACCCAAAGCAATTATTCTTTCTCCTGCATAGGTTAAATGTTTGTGGTAATGGGTGTCAAAACGCTAATCTTGGACATCCAGAAAGAATAGACATTGAATTTTAAGGATGTTCCAAAATACATAATTTATCATGAGGGGAACATTTTTTCCTCAGAAGCAAAGTAATCTGTCTAATAAAATAATGATTCCCAGCCATTTGGGATGGACTTTCATTGAGGCTGTCTTCTGCTGCTTCTTGCCGTGCTGCCTCCAAACACCCCAAATTCTTGCCCGCTGCCTTCCCATCCCCGATCGCTGCCACAGCTTTTTGAATGTCTGCCATCACAATCTCAACACTTCCCACTTTCAGGCCCCTACTACGCTGCTGCTACAGCATTTCCTGTGGATGCCCACGGCTCCCTCCCCTCATCTCTCCCTTCCTTCAGGAGTGTGTCCCCCCTCCTCCCTTTTCTGCCATCATCCTCAGCAGTGCCAGGACAAACCTGGGACTGATCATCAGGCACAGCTTGTTAGCCTGGCCTCTGTTCTGTGCCACACCGTGCCACGCATTGCCTCTAATGTCAGACAGTTTGCTAGTGTCTCTCAGTTTAGGGACTGGTTTATAAAACATGATAAAGCAAATCTCAAAATATATCTGGGAAATTTCAAATACTGATTGTTGGACTCTGAAGAGAAGCACAATGCTCTAAAAGTAGCAATTTTTGTATGCCTCATAGATGCAAACTTCAATCACGTATGTTACATTCTGTGTTCTTCAATTCTCTTTTCCATTTTCTCCCTAACCTTCCTTTTTTTTTTCCCCCCCCCCTTCCTTTATTTCCCCACTTATAAGCAAGTGAGTTTGCAGTGTGGATAGAGACATTAGAAAAGGTCAAGTTCTGCAGAAGGGAAAGTTTGAGGGAGGCAGCTTCAGTTGCAGGACTCTGTTGTCAAAGCCTGGATGTGCTCAGGAAAGGCTAAACGATGTCATAAAAAGTGCAAAGTAAAAGGACATCACATCACTTACAGCTCATTAAACCCCTATGTTAAGAATTCCATTCAGGAGTTAAAATGGCTTTAGTTCTGTTTCTTCCCTCACTTACAGGGGTTAAACTAAACGGGAAATACTGTACAGAAAATTTAAACTACTTCTGCATAAAAGCTCCCATAAAGGGGCTTTCATGTGTGCTTTCACATTACACTTTCTATTAATTTGTTTTACCTTTTCAGAAGGTCCTTGCCTTTATTAAAGAGCTAATACAACATTAGGAGTTTTCCTCAAAAACAAAGTAATTCTTAGTTTAATGGCTCCTTTGATAGTATTGTATTACATGAAATAGTAAAGCAAGCGTTGAGAGATAAGATCTGCTTGCCAAAAAAAGGAGGAGGAGATAGGCTTTTTGGAAAATTATGAAGATGACCTCACTTTTGTTACCAACGCGAAAGTGTGCACTGATTTGAAGTTTAAGATATTAATGTGTTAAGATATTAACAGCATTTTGAACTACTTCGCTTTTCAAGTGGCCAAGTTCTTTAGCAGCTTTTGAGTAGGAAAATGTCATAAATATGTTGGTAGGACTACAGAAGGAAGTCACAGTTCCTCTTTGGTGAAGCAGAGTTCAACAAAGCATTCTTGATTTATTTCTTTGATCAGCCAAGGTGTTTGGGTCTGAATATTTTTGTTGATGCTGAAGAAGTTACTACTGTCTGTTTACCAAAGACACGTTGACACTTGTGACTTCTCTGTGGCAGACTATAAAGTGAAATCATGTAAAGAGAGATTTGAGGGTAGGAGGCAGGATGGTTTCCTGGCTATGGAAATGGGAAGCAAGTTTGGCACTAAGTTTTATCCTTGGCTTTACTGCTAATTTCCTTGAGCAAGAGCTTTTGACAGCCCACATCATCTGTCTATGCCTCTCCTTGTCCTGTCTGTAAGATGAGGAAAAATAATAATAATAAAAAACCCCTGTTTCCTTTGTAAACAAAGTTGATATTTCTGAATGAAAAGTGATAAAAAGAGCTAAGCATTCTGGTTGTCAAGAAAGAAGCTATCTATACAAAGGCAGGAATTTTCATACATTTCCGTTGCATGAATATTTCAATTAAAGAATGATTCTCCTGGTTCTTTCTGTTCCATTTGTGATCTTAGAGTCCATTTTCTCCTAAATTCTCAGTCAGTTGAGATCCCATTGGCAATTACAGCAGCTTATGTTTGCTGAGGTGTTTCGTCAGAAATTACATAGAAATTACTTAAATGGGATGATGCTGATGTGTGTAGTGTAGTGACAGGACAAGGGGTAATGGGTTTAAGCTGAAGGAGGATTGATTTAGATTAGATGTTAGAAAGAAATTTTTCACTGTTAAGAGTGGTGAGGCACTGGAACAGGTTGCCCAGAGAGGTTGTGGAGGCCCCATCCCTGGAAGTGTTCAAGGCCAGGTTGGATGGGGCTTTGGGCAACATGATCTAGTGGAGGGTGTCCCTGCCCATGGCAGGGGGGTTGGAACTAGATGATCTTTGAGGTCCCTTCCAACCCAAACCATTCTATGATTCCATGATGAATCATCTGAGAATCTGGGTGGATTTCTTGTATTCCTTTCATTATACTATAAACTTGTCAGATGCCAGGATTGAAAGAGCTCTGTTGTTTTGCTGCTGGGATAACTTTTGTCTGTTCCTTGGGTTGTAACAGGGCCTTTTTCTGAGATTATTTTTGACTGTTGATGAAGAAGGGGGTCTTTAATCATGTATTGAATTCTCACATTTGATTTCTGGCACAAGGAATTTCCTAAACCTCATATGTGAGCTTAGGAAAAGTTGAACAGAAAATACTCCACTGGAGCTATGTACAATGAAAGTGATTATGTAGCCAGCAATTTATTTTCCTTATAGTACCACTGGAAGCATAACATATGTACTAAACAATTATTTATAAACATGAAGGCTTTACTAAACACTTTTTGTAAAATATAATCTTCAGTACTAGTGTATTTATATAACATCTCGTACAGATACTGAGAGGGGCTGTTCATAAACCAATCATAAAATATACAGAAAATATCACCAGCTTATAAAACAGCATATAAGACAGCATTTAGAAATGAAATTTCAGGGGTTTCGTCCCCCTACTTTTCTCACTTTCTGTCTTTCTGATACAAACTCACAGTAATAGGCCCTGCCATCTGCTACTATATATTTTTCATGAGTTTTAACATTTTGTTTTTAGAACCTGAAAGATGAGTAAAATGTCAAATCACCCAGAAAATAATCATAGGCATGACAACTCAAATGTTATCTCAGCTTGTCTGTACAAAAAGCAGTTCACAGCAGGTCTGTGCCTTCCCTCTTTGCAGATAGAGCAGGCGGAGCAAGCGAGCAGGTACGCGACGCTGGTATTAGGTGAAACGTTTTCAACCACCACCACAAGACTAGCAGAAGATCTCCTCTTGATTTTAATGAGAGTAACGTGGCCAAAAAAACAACGGCATCACTTTCAAAGTTCGTTCTGTGGAAGGTGAACTTCAGATTTCCTTTAGTTTTGCATTATTTGGATTGTCTGGCTTAAATTGTTTGTGACTGCTGGCCTAAATAAAATGCAGCCACCAGGCAGTTATTGAGGTGAGAAGGTGGTAACTGCACTAGCAAAATTAATTCCCGGTGAAGAAGTAAACTCTACGATGCATTATCATAGAAATGTTATGGGCTTTTTTTTTTTGCTGCCCTTCTCCCTCCTCCCATTTGAAAGCCTGGGTTTGCGACTCTCCTCCCAGCCCTGTAGCTGCAGTGTGCCAGGGAGATGCAGCAAAGATCTCCTTCCGGGTTGTGTTCTTCCTCTGGCGTTTCCAGCTGCTCTTCGTTTTTCCCATTCTGTTTTTCCATCACATTGAGACTAGACTGGAGCTGACAAGCTGAGAGGGTGTTAGAAAGGTACAGGATAAGACCTTCAGCTCAAAAAATGCTCACAGTTCTTAATTTGGAGGGAAAGAACTGTGCAACCCATTCATGCCACCTTGCTGTCAAGCTACGCTCAGGATCTCTTTCATTTGACAATATGTACTGTTAACATAAGAAGTGTATAGCCATATCATTTGCCTCCTACATTTTTAACCGTGCAAAGATGAAATTATTTCACTGAATAGGTTCCCAGCAGCTCAAGGATGGTTTTTGTAATAAATCCTCTGCAGATTCGCTACCTTTCATTAGAATAAGAAGTCTCCTCGGTGATCTTTGCACTCTCAGCCTGTGCAAAAGTCCTCATTACAGTGTTGCAAGATTTTTCTCTTAATATTCCACTTCAGAAGTGTTGAGCTTGTTTTCAATTATCTCCATTCTGTGGTTTATTTTACGCATTCCTTTAGAAAGTCCCTTGTTCGCAGGACATTTTTCAAGCTTTCCGGTGCAAGCTGATGATCTTTACCTTACTGATACTGTTCTTTGAAACTGCCTATACTGTTGTTGCTGGAGCTACACTGCTGAAGACGACAGTGGGAGAGGCAAGTTACTTCCAGATCTGAGAGGACTGTAAGAAATAGGAGGCAGAAAAGTGATGGTTCTTTTCCAGATTTAGTTTTGTGATTAATATACATTTAATGAATATGCTTAGGCATAATATTCTGGTCTGCTGAAATGGTGAACAAGGCAAGTACTACTGATGACGTAGAATTGAAACCACTCATGTTTCGTCAGCTGGGTCAGCAAAACTCAAACTTGGATTAAAAGGTGGATATCTCCTCCATCTGTAAAATGGGTCATGTCTTAGGGACCTGTAACTTCACTATGCTATGCCTATATCTAAAGCTGGACTTGACATACATGCTAACATTTTGCTGTCATTGGCATTCTGGTTAAAAAAATAATTGTAGACAAATTACTCCTATAATGAAAATGTCCAAAGAAACTGTAATTAAAATTACTGGCTCACATTTTTCAGGGCACCAAATTGATACTGAATTTCAGGAGTGGGGAGCCTCCTAGACCTTTAAACCTTTGGAAATCTCCAGTGATTTTAATCTTTTTGGGCTTTTAAATACATTCCCCTTTGATAACATGCTTAGAGTTACTAATTTCTGACAATAGTAATGATTTAATCACTTTATTAAAATCATTGTGCTATAATGTATGTTGACTTTGAAAACTTTGACGACCTTTGACGTATAAATATTTCTCTTTCTTTCAAAGGTATTGCATGAGGGCAGGCTGTTGGGAGGAATGTGCACACCAAATCTCATTTCGGAAGAGGCTTTTTGCTCTTCTGTTTTGTTCTTGCTTTGCAAGGTTTTATTTTGCATTGGAAAACTAGGTTTCTTTGTTACACCTGGAAAACTGAAAGACCGAACAGCAACACAGTGTAAGAGTTTGGGAGATAACTGCTGAAAGTAACATGTAAATCTTGGGAGTAACAAATCAAGAAGAGCATATTGAAATCAAAGAGTGAAGCTGTATCTGATGAATAATAGCTTTCCCCTTTCTTCCTGCATGTTGGTTTTTTGTTTGTACTAATTTAGTGCAAGTACATGTATGCTGACAGCCAGTATGCTAACTGTCTGAGAAATGAGTCAGAATTTGGGGGAATTTAGGATTAAGGTCTTTGATGTGGAATAGACTTCATCTCGCTTCTTTCTGATTTTTTTTTTCATTGCCAGTGATTTTGAAACACGACTAAAATGCTGTGTATGTACTTGACCTGATCTAGAGAAACATAATCCTAATAGATGCTGTTCATCCCAGTGAACGGAGTGGTGGCCGGGGGCACAAGAGATTCGAATTTCATTCCTGGTTGTGTCCCAGGTGTACTGAGTAATCAGTGAAAGGTCTTTTCTCTGGTGTGTGCCTTTGTTTCCTATGTCATGATTCAGGGAGTAAACCAGTATTTAATAGCTGGTCATCTTTATGAGGAAAATGATGGAGTTGGCATGCTGTCTTTAATCTTTCAATGATAATGAAAATGTTACTTCTGTGTCATGTATAAAGAGCTGTTTTTAAATAGCAAAACCAATTGAAAAGACATATACCTGTAAAAATATTTATATTGTTATATTACATTTCTGTGCTAAGTGTGTTTCCTACAGATATGTTTATATGGTGGGTTGTTTTTTTTTTCAGGCCCTGCTTGACACTCAGAATCTTTTGAGAGCTCAGATTACAAATTTTACTTTCAACTTGGGATTTTCAGGGAAATTTTATCACACAGGTAAGAATGAAATACTAAAATCACTTTCATTTTGATTGTGTTCTTTGTAGTATAAGGAAAGTAAGAATGGTAGAGACTAGGGGTCTGAGTAGAGAGAAGAGTTTCCTTCATAATAGGATAACCAAAAAAATCAAATTGTTCCTTCTTCCAGGTTTCTTTGGGACATACATTTGTGTGATTTATCAAATCAAATGCTTCTCCTAAAGTTATTATATGAGATTAACCTCTTGTTTGAGCTGTAGTCTGTGTGGAAATAACCATGTAGGTAGAGTCTGTAAATACCTATTTGCAGCAACATTGCTCTTGAAAAAAGAAAAAAAAAAGGAAAGAAAAAAGAAAAAAAAGAAAAAAAGGTGCTCATTCTTTGCATAATAGCCCAATAAATAGAGCAATGATGTGGAATTAGGAGAGCCGGGCTGTAGTTTCTAAGAGAACGACTAAGTCCTTCAGCAAAGTGTGTACTGTCACACCATTAAGTTTCCTGAATAAGGAATGTTCCCCCTCCTTCTGCAAGCTGGGACATGCAGAAATGGCAGAGTCACAGGGCCAGGGGGAGACCTTGCAAGAAGCAGTCCAAGCTTGGGATGCCAGCTTTAGGGGTCTTACGTGTTACATATGCGTCATTGGATAACAGTAAAATGAATCCTGAGGGTGGAATAAACACATCTCTTACTGTTGCTTTGTAATTTCCTTTAATTTGAGCTAGCTTAGACACTTACTACAGAATCTCTCCCAGGAAATGGGGAGAGGGAGGCACATAGAATAGGTGAAATGGATTTTTCTATGCATCTGTTTCCTGAGTACATGGAGAATTTAGGTGGCAATTTTAGGTGGGCTGGAACTCAGGATGAGGCACCTGTATTTCTAGTAAGCTGCAATGCCTGCGTTAGGTGTTGGTGTGGAACAGATTGAATTCCTCCTCCCCTTTTATTAAAATTCAGTTCCTTTCAACCTGTTGTTGAGTGGTAAATTCCACCAATCAAATGAAATTTTTGCTTGACTTGACTGAGAGGTCTGTTGAGCTACCACAATTTATCCTTTTGGATAGTTTAATCTCTATTGTAGAGATATAGCAATATATATTACCCATTAAAATAATTTTATATTTAAAGCACTGTAGAAACAGGGAGAAGTAGAAGATAAGGTATCAAATAGGATGTGATACAGAAGAAAGAAGGTGCTCTCTACTGTCAAACAGAAAGAAAAAGACATGCATGCAAAATAGGACAACATCAGAGCCTGGAAGAGAGAGACAAAAGGCAACACAAGATAATGTCATAGTTGAAGTATGTTAATAGGTAAATAGGGAAGTGAGGGGGAAAGAGGGAAGTGAGGTGACATGTTAGCTGAGACTAGAAACCCAAACTGGATTTATTCAGACCAAAGATAGATATATAGAGCTTGAATATGCTCGACTGCTGTGCATGTTACATAGCAGAGGGATGAGCATAACTCTTGTGCTCTGCTGTGCACCTTGGTCAGTATTACTTGTCATATTAAGAAGAGAAGAGGCGGGGAAAGAAGTCTGTTATTTAGAGCTGAACAGCGGGAGAGGAAAGCAGTTGGGCCTGCACAGTCCCTCCACAGGTTTCTCTTCGGCTCAGCACACTTCAGCTAGACCTGGTAAATGCCAGATTTCATCCCTGCAATCCAGGGGTCACCTCCACAGTTCAGAGAGACTAGAGATGCCTTAACTTTTTCAGATTCTGGACATCCATTCCATCCATTCCCATCCCTTCCTCACCTTTCTTTTGCCTAGAATGTCCCAGCAAAATGGTCCTGACTGCCAAGTTTGTCACCTGCCAGTGTCTCAGCAGGCAGAGGTATTTTCGAGACCATTTCTTTTGCCTCAGTTGACAGTTCAGATGCTTTGGAGGGAACATGTGTGTGGGTTTCCTGGTTTTTGCTGAGCAGGATTTAGCAAAGTTATTGCATGTTTGTCATACAAACTGACCCGGTTACTGGCTCTAAACTGAATGTGTTGAGCCTGTCTCCATTACAGCCCATCCCTTGCTGTGGCTTTCTTCCTTTCTTGATATTTCTTCTCCCTGATCTGGCCATCCTATGAACTTCAGGCACTTTCTTTGATATCATGTGAACATCACAGAGGGCCCCATGGACTCATGTGGAGTCCTAAAATCTAATGATCCTACAAATATTGACACATCATTACATACGTCTGCACACATTTTTCATTCACTGCTGTAGTTCCCTCAGAGGTAATGAGGAATAAAATCATAATAGTGAAGGTATGTCAGACAAGGTTTGCTGAAGGAAAGAGGGTTAGTGAGAGTATGGCCATACGGATGCAGAAAGCGTTGGAGCTGAACGTTTGGCTAAAAGACTGAAAAAGGAGAATAGATGTTGCAAAACGCTGAGAGAGAGAAAGGATTTGTCAAGTTGTGTTGATTGTTGGCAGGAGCAGGAAATCAGAGAAGTGGGAAGCAGGCACTGCGTGAAGATGTGTTAAGCTATAGGTTGTCAAAATTCGACTTGTACAGTCTTTATACAGCAGCCCGTTAAAGGGTTATTTAAATTTGGCTGCCTTTGACAGGGCTAACCTGTCATTAGAAGTGCACTGGGACTAGGATAAATGTCTGGGCTTGGAGGTGAGGGGGGTGTCCTGATGTGCCAGCTAATTAGAACCTGACATTTCCCATCCCCGAGGTGCTGTCAGACACCCAGGCTGAATCTCTGGGAGTAGGTTATCCAGAGCTGAGGCACAGGCCCCAGCACCGATAGGGCTTGTCGTTGCCCTCAGATTACACATATGGCCTCTGGAGTGCTTGGGGTCCCGGCCAGCCCCCAGTGCCTGCACCCGGGGGAGCAGGGCCAGGGCCCGGCCCAGCGGGTAGCTGGGCTGTGGCTGCTTCTTCGCAGGCTGGGAGAATTTAGGAGCGCCAAAGCAGCCAGTCAGCTCAGGGTCGGAGGACAGGCCCCACCACTGGCTTCATTACTGCTGTAGCTGCAGCAGGAGAGGTGTGGGAGAACAGCAGGGCCGATCGCTGCTGCCCAAGTATTTCCTCTTCATCAGCAGTGCAGTTAGAAATGGCTGCAGGGCCTGTTCCCCACACTGCATCCTTAGGAACAGGCAGGAGAGCATCTGAAGAGAGGCCTAGGGTCTGAGAAACGACTCAGTGAGCTCCAGCTGCCCTGTAAGTCTCTTCAAAGATGCAGATTTTTGGGAACTCCTGAATAGGCCTTGATCAGAAAGGTAAGAATTAGCAGGGAGAGAAAATAATTGTACTCTTCTGTATAATATTTTGAAAAGGCTGCTGGGAAAAAATACTTGTACATATCATAGCTAACGAAAGGAAGAGAAGTTTGACTGGGGAGTGAATTTAGTTTGAATAAGGAATAACAGAAAAGAGTTGTCAACATTTTCATTTATACTTTGTATTAAACTGTCTTGCATACAATTTCTCTGATTCTGTCCCTTAGCTAGTGACGTTACTGATAGAGCATGTGCATGTGAGGATAGTGGTGGACCGTGCATTCGAGATGCCATGAAAATGGCACTCTCGGACTTTTACTTGGCTGTAGTTACTTCAGGAAAAGGAATATGTGCTTGGAAACATTTAAAATCCTCAGTACTTTAAATGGTCACATTTTATTATGCTAATTTCTTTCTTAGATATATTTTCAAACATTTGTAAGAATATAATAAAAGTAGAGAGTTTACTTCAGAGAGATTATTTTTTTTCTTTTTTGTTTTTGCAGGCACTGAGGAGGAAGATGAAGGCGATGACCTGTTGTTGAGGTCTGTAGATGAGTTTTGGTGGTTTCCCCATATGTGGAGTCACATGCAGCCTCATCTCTTCCACAATGAGTCCTCACTGGTGGAGCAGATGATCCTCAACAAAAAATTTGCCTTAGTGAGTTATATTTTTGCATTTTATATAGAATTTAGCTATTCAGAAACCATTATTCCTATTTTGTTGGAAAAATCAATCCTTGTACAATTTGTTTTAATCTAAATTAATTGAAAAAAGGGAAGTTTTGATAAAGTGTTTTTTTTGACAATCACTCTATTTTGTACTATGAAAATTCTGTTTCTCTACATTTTGTATTTCCTTCTCAATTAAAGTTTGATTGTTTTTTATTAATTTATGAAAAATTTTGAATGGAAAAATTCTTGCAGAATGAAGAATTAGTATGTTCCCATCTTGCAAAGTAAATATAGATAAAAAGTCTTCTATTTCACTATTTTCCTAAATAAAATTTTGTCCAAATAACCCATTGTTTAGATTAGAAAAAAAAATTCTGAGAGAATAAATACTCCATCAAAACGTGTCAAGCGACTTTATGAAAACACTGCATGTTAGGATTAATGAAGTGTGCCACATTTTCAAAGATGCTTTTCTGTGGTAATACCTGATAACATCTTATATATTCCCTTTGGATCAGCTTTATAAAAATTTGTTTTGAAAAGCATTGCCTTTAGTAATTATTTATTCACAGCAAAGCTCTAAAAAAATGTTTTGGTGAGAATATAAGAAAAAATAAAACCAGATCTTTGGATCTGAGAATAATAGAGAAACAGACTTTTCTCTAGTTACTTTCATACAGTAAAACCAAACCAAACTGCCATAGGTAGTACGTATTATTTGTCTGAAGAAATGATCCAACGTAAAGACATAAAGAAGTGTTATATCAGAATATCTCAGCAAACATAACTTGCTGAAATACGTCTACTCTTCCAACAGCCTAATTTTACTTCTCCCTTTTCAAAATACACTGGTTGCTCTTTAGCTGGCAGGTAATGACTTTGTTCCTAGAAAGAGCAGAGGGATTTGAGATACCAGAACAAAAAGTCTGCTTATGGTCATGTGTCAGTGAGTGTAGGAGGAAGGTGTAGGCCTAGAATATCAAGCAATTAAAATTTGTATTTGAAAACTTTACTTTTGAGTGAGGTATATGCTTTCTTTTGACCAAAGATTTTACCCAGTTTACTGCAAACTGTAGTAGTCAATTTTAATGTTTCCTTTAAAGAAAGCATTTCAGTAGAAGTTAGAACCATGAAAATTTACAAATCCTATGTCCAAAATTCCCTTTTTTTCTGTGATTCTGTGTACTCTTGCAAGCTCCACTGGAAGTTAAATCAGTTCTTGTCGTTCTGGTGTCACCTAAGACATCCTCCAGGATTAGTCTACAGTATGTAACCATTAAAGTATGTTATTAGAATAATTCATATTCAGCCCTGTTTTAGGTAACTTCATCAATTTCTATTTTCTTCGCTACTTTCAATGCTCTTAATACTTACAGATACCTTATATTAAATGTTTTTCATGTCTGAAGATATATAGACATGAAGCTACTTGTTACGTTTCATTTGCTTAAAGCATTTAAATTAATAACAAAGATAAGTGTCCTGCTTTTTTTGAAAGAGGCTGAAATTGCTGATGCCTCATGCATTATCAAACTGAATGTGTATATTGTGTATTAAATGCTCAACTTGGGAATTACAGTCACTAAGAAATAAGAGAGACACTAATACATTGAAGATGATAGGCTCATAATTAGAATGAAAGATTTTAATTACATATTTATTACTGTATATTGTAAAACTTTAGGGAAAAACCCTTAAAAATCAGACATTTGTTTATAGCTGAATGAAGGAGATTAAAAGGGATATTAGAGAATGCAATATCTTACATATTCTGTAAAGATTTTTCTTTCTGATGTTTATGCAGGCTTAAGGGAAGTAGAAAAGATAAAGAGGAATTGAAATATCAGTGATGGAATTAAATAGTGTAAAGCTGTGTAACTGCTGGCATATCCATTCTTTATCTTCCCATGCCGTAAAACCAATAGGCCAGGTCTTACTCATTCCTACTTTGGCAGATTATGCATAGTGCACCCCAGCTGTAAACCAGCAGGTGATGTGCTCCCTGGGTTCCGCGGGGTCGCTGACGGGGAGTTTGAATCTTACCCAGGAGTGGTACGGCCTTATGAGAATTCCAAAAGCCGCACCAGCCTCAGAGTGGTAAAATCTCATGCCCCGTTACGTGTGCCGTAAGTTGCTAAAGGGAAATAATAATTTCTATATTTTTAAATATAGAAAAATTAGGATTCTCAACTGTGATTAAACCATACCTGTCTGTTACATACGCCATTACAGTAGGTTCAAAGTAGCCCTTTAATGAGGGGAAAAATAGCTTTCTTGCCTTGCAGGCTTCACATCTTTAATGTCTTATTACTCATACTCTTCCAGAGCAGAAGTAAATGCTGCTTTTTGTGAGTTTGCTTTGTTTTGAGCTGTTGGTAGAGTTGTCATATTTAAATTAAAATGGATACATCTAATATTGAACCCTGACTATTCAAGCTTTTTAAGTCCAGTACATTAGTTTTCCTGCAGTAGTCCGGTCCTCCTCCAAAAAAGATGATTTTACTAAGGTCACACCCCCATTTTTCTCTGAGATAAGACTTACAGTTTTTCAGATTCCTTAGTTACAAGTTTATTCAAAGGAAGAGACCCAAGTATCCACCCACTCTTACCTTTGCACACAGAGTATGATGAGAAAATATGGTGAAGATGACCATACAAATGCAAACAATATAAAAAACCGCTTAAACAGAATTCAAAAGTTCTGCAAAGGCAGTTTTCCTAAATCATTGCAACACAACATCATCTTAGTGAATTCTGCTAATCTGACTATCAAAGAAATATCTGCTACATACTGTTCCTTTGAAAAGTAACCTGAAAGAAAGGAGAAAGGGCATCAAAATTCAGTGGAGTATGTTGGAAACCAGAAACTGTAAAGAAAATACATTGAATGTCAAGAGGAGGTAATACCAGCAAGGTCAGTATGTAAACAAGATACATGACAGGAGTTTGCAAAAATAGAAGATGAACTACAAAAGAGGTTAGTCTACAACATCTGCCTATTATCCTCAGAATTGTACAAGTGGTTATCTTTTCTGACACTGAAATGGTTAAGCTGATTTTTTTAATATGGTTTTATGTTTCGAGTGGATTTGAGGAGAAATGCAATGACTTTCCATGAAATTCAGCTAACAATCCAAGTAATTGTGTAGAGACATGTAGTGGAAATCACATTTTCATTATTGTAACTGCCAAATGCTGCCTGTTGTGTGAATATGTGCTAGCATTTTTCTCTCCGAATTCTTAGTTAGTGAGCAAATTCCTTGCAAGAACTTAAGAGTGCAGCTTTCTGTTTAATGTAGATGGAAGAAATCAATGTAAAATACATCTATATCACTCTTCCCTACATACTTATAAAAATATTTATTAAAAAGGCTTTTGTATTAAAATCCTGCCTTTCATCTTCACCATGCTGCCTTCCATCTCTTTCACATATATAAAGCATGTTTTGATATCACCATTATTTGCATTTCAGAACTGTTCTTGATCACTCACAAAGGATTTGAGAAATGCCAAAACATCAAGTTTCTTAAATTTTTGAAAGCAGTTGTTGTTCTGTTATGTTTTAGGAACATGGTATTCCAACTGATTTGGGCTATGCAGTAGCTCCACACCATTCTGGAGTCTATCCAGTACATGTTCAACTTTATGATGCCTGGAAAAAGGTCTGGAATATCAGAGTTACCAGCACAGAAGAATACCCACATCTGAAGCCTGCAAGGTATAGACGAGGCTTCATCCACAAAAATATTATGGTGAGTTGTATTTATGATGTTCTTATTAGACCCACTTTACCATTTTATGAACAGTGTATTTTTAAGTGGAAAAGCAGGGTATCCTGAAAGTTCACGTTGTGAGAAGCACATATTGCTATGCATAAGTAGCAAGATATATTTGACAGTATCTTGTTAATTAAAATCAGTCTGTTGCTGATGATGTTACTGCTGATGAAGGTGGCCTCCAGGCACCCCGCTGTTAACAGTTAACAGGCTGTTAACTGTTCTAGTCCTACTGTTAATACTGGTTCAGAGATCTTGAGGAAAAAGTCTACTTTGCATCTTTTAACAGAATATTATGGGTTAGATTTTTAGCAGGTTTTAAATTTGCATAGTACCATTAATTGCAAAAGAGTTTTGCCAGTTTATGCCATCTGAGAATCTGGATCTTGGTGCATAAATATTTCTTTTTTCTTCCTTTTGAATGAGTTGCCCTCATTTGCTTCCTGCCATACAGAAATGTGAACTGTGCTTTGCACTGTGGCTTAACCCCACAGCTAGGCTTTGGGCCCAGGCAGTCAGTCTGGATGCAGGGCAAACACTCAGAAGGCTGGAGGCAAGGAAGAGACACACACACCACACCTCCCTCCAGGCGATGAAACTGCTCTGTTGAGGCAGCCACAAGTCAAATCACACAATTTTTCTGTATTACATAATTCACAGCGTTGTTCACTGACAGCAGTGTTTGCCAAAAGGGGTTATACACAACTGACATGGAAGGCGTTACGCTAATACCATCTGGTCACTGGGGCGTAGGCTATTCCTGAATCACATATTGGCATTATTATCCGAGAAGTTTCAAAACAGCTTTGCAAAATACTCAAGTTCTTGAGTAACTTTCTTTTTATTAGCACATAGGAGAGCAGTGAATGGGAAGGATCCTAGTGTGTGTGCTGTGTTATACCTCTGGCCGCAACAAGCAGTTTTGGAGGGTCAAGTGGCTTAGCTCGAGACTGCCACTTAGCTTATAACAGAATTCTGGTATTGTCCTCGAGTTACCATGGATGCCACTTTTCTAAGCAAAATAATAATATTTCAAATTTTTGATCCATTTTTGGGTGAAGCAAACTAGAACGATCTCCAGACATTCAGGAAAAAAGTTGACACCATATGGATTTGAGCTACAGTTTGTTCTCCTCAAAGCAATAGCTGCATGTAAAATAATAGGCTCATGGATATGTGCAGGGGGGTGTGAAGCATTTGAGGGAGACTGATTGACTCTCAGAATCTCCAAAAATCTCTTTCATAAATTTTTGTAAAAACATGTCATTTGAAGACACATAGTGAGATTTAACACAAGGACACTGGGGCCAAAAATCTATTTCCAAGAACAGTCGTATAAAACCACCTGTTCTGGGAGTCTCAAGCTTTCAGTTCTCCAGGGCAAATGCATTAATATTTTACATCTGCAGGCTTATAGTGATGAATACATTCAGTAATAAAATCATTGTGTAAGATTTGCCAGAGCATTTCCCATCCAGTACAGCTTCATTCCCTGCCTCTGTGAAGAATTGTTCTCATATTTCATCTGTGAAATCCAAAGGTTTTTAAAAAGTATACGCGAGTTTATAGCAAACAGACAAATTCCATACATTTTCTTGACAACACAGAATTTACGACCTGTGGTCACAGTATCCTGTACATTACAAAAAAGTTGTTGAGAAATGAAACTACAAGAAATAAAGAGTATCTACAAAACCACAGTCTACGTCAAGTAAGGGGTTTGTATGCTTTAAAAGTTTAAGCTATCATATGATATAGCATATATATAACAGATAATGTTCTAAATTGGACTAAAATGTTTAAGAACAATCCCAGTTTGAGAATTATACATGAGCATCAATACTCAGCTGTTGATTTTCCGTAAAAGATCGACATAATTGAAATACTCTCCAGCAAATGGTTTTCTGAAGTTGATAGAAAATATTTTGAAGTTCTACGGGAAAACGTAACTGAATTTATTAGTTCTTCCTATTCAAAAGATTTGTTGTTTGCATGTTTTTAAAAATACTTTTGTTTATGCTACTTTTTATTGCAACTGGTCTTGGAAAACTAGCACAGCTGAATGAGAAGCAAATCTTTTACAATGTGAGCATTATTGGCAAAATTAATCATGTGTCAGTGTAGAATTATTATTGGTGGTGATGCCTAAGAAAAAAAATACTTTCAAATTCTAGTTTAAATTTACAACAAAGCCATCATTCAAATAAAAAGTGCAACTGATTAATACAATATAGATTGATAGTATTTCAGATTATTTTAAAATTATTTTAAAATTTTAGAAAACTTTGATGACCAGACTTCAAATACTTGGTGTTAGGATCAGGTGTTACAAACAAAATTAGTTTGAGGAGGTTGCTGAATTCTAACTTACTGATTGAGATCAATCTCCAGTTTCAAACAAAATGTGATGAATTTTTGAATGTTATGATTGCATTGATAATAAAAATGTTGTTTCTTTCAGTAAGCACTATTTATTGATCTGCCAATGTATTCATTCAACTAGATCATTATTGACTTCTGGCAAAAATCTACCCAGCAATTATCACAAAGGAATATTATCAGTTATGTGTTACTTATCTGGCATTTATTATCTCATTAAAAGTATAAACATTTTTGTTTTGTGAATTTCTCTTGAATTTTTTTTTTTTTTGGTAAATTAATTCAGGTGCTTCCTAGGCAAACTTGTGGCTTATTCACCCACACAATTTTCTATAAAGAGTATCCTGGAGGCCCAAAGGAACTAGACAAAAGTATTCAAGGAGGAGAGTTGTTCTTCACAGTGGTTCTCAATCCAGTAAGTACAGTGTAATTTTGAAATGTTTTTAAAAAATTATTTAAAGGAGAAGTTACTGAATGCTTCAAGTCTTATCAGCTGGGTCTCCTGAATAGTAATGATTTTTCACAGTGAGCTCTTTTGCTTTTTTAGTTAATTAAGATCTAATATTATGTATGTTCTGTTAGTTGTACAAAGATAATCTCCACTTTTTTTTGAGAACTGTTTTGTTAGTAATGCAGTAGTAGCAACCTCTCTTCTTGTTCTTTACTTTTGCATGAAATAAGAACCCTGAGATTTAATTTTTAACAGAATTCAGGCGTTAAGAACTGGTATTACTATGAGACGTGTACCTCAGGTGAAGTCCATTTTCCTGCTCTGCCAAATTCATAATCAGAAATGTTGAGAACACTCTTTGATACGAGAAAGTTGCAAGCATGGAGCGCTTGCACTTAAATCTGTTTTGCGAATTTTCAGTTGCTGATTCATAATAGCTTCAAAGAAAAGATCCAAGTAAATGAACCACATAGTTAATACATCTGCTTAACCTTTCATTTATCTTTAATGGAAGAATAAACAACAAACGGGGCTATGAAACTACAGAATACTGACAGAAGAGAACAGTATAGTACTTCAAAATGGCATGAGATTAGGTCAGTTGCATCAAAACTGACCTTTTAGACAAGCTTTTAGGTGAGGTTTTCATCTGAAGTCCAAATGAAACATATAAGTAAATTTTACCAGGTTTATAAAAATGTAATCACGAGGACTCGTTTTTTCAGAACACCAAAGGGAACAAAACATATTTCCACTCAAATATTTTGGAATAATAGCCTAAATATTTTTGTGCCCTTTGTGTCCAAAGGAAAAAAGCTGCTGTCTTCAGCATTTTATATGCAGGTCTGTTTTTCAAGCCTCACATTCTTCCAGGCTATAATTCTGGTTCTTTGAGAGCAGTTACTGTATTTTGTTCTCCTTTTTCATGTTCACATAGCAGAATTAGGAAATAAAAACTTCACTTCCTCAGCACACACGTGGTCTCCCTTCTAGAGGATGGCAGTAGTCTCAGTCCTGACTTCAATGATACATATAATTTCAGGCACAGCATGTTAACAGAGTGAGACCTGTGGATGGAGGGTATTGGTACCATAGCAATGCTTTGGCAATATATGGATTTTAATTAAGAGTTACTAGCTTAACAAATGAGACTTAGAGCAATACATATAGTAACAACATTTTGAGTCAGGACAGACTGTATTCCATATTGAAACACAACCACAACTTAGCTAAAAGCTGTTTTACTGTCTTAAAACAGTAGGGAAACAGCAGAATTTAATATGGTTGCTCAAGGCATAAGCCTTTCAAATTAAAAGAATGAAGAGAATGGAGGGAAGACAAGATAAGCAGTGAAACAATCATGATTTTTGGTATTAATCATAGAATTTTGATCATGCCTGCCTAACATCCTTGAATGTGAGTACAGTAATGTCTTTTTTTATATTACAATTGTATCTTTGATTTATGCATTGGAATGTAGACTGTATGATCACCTAATTCTGAGAAATATGAGATCCCAAATACAATACAGGCTAAAAGAATAGAAGTTAAATGCACTATTTTCAAAATACAACTGCAAATTAATATCAGACCAAAATTAGCCCAAGACAAGTTGTTGCAATCCTTTTAAGGAATGCCTTTGAAAAGATGATGTGTCTGGTTTTAAATATCTGGTATAAACAGTTTCTAAAGTTCTAAGCATTAGCCTGGCATGTAATCAATTTAAAGATTAGGTTTGCATTTGTGTTTTTTAAGTATTACATGTATTTATACCATAATTTGCAAGTCAGAGTTGGGTAAAGATTAGGCATTAAAATGAAAACTAAGTAGCTTTAGGAATTTTTCTAATTATGAAGTGGCATTTTGGATTTCATAAGCTTTCCTGTGTTCATTAAAATGCTAGGATTTCTTAATGTGAAACACTGCTTTTCACAATATGCAAAAATTCCATTATGAGGCATTTTCTAAACCTTATTTTTCACTGATGCAAAACTATGAAGAAGAAACATTACCTAGGAATCATTACAGTGTCAGCTAAATAATATTCTCAACAATGAGTACTTACATATTTAGTTTCCAAAAATGGAAAATGTGGGTGTAAATTAAATGTAAATCTTAACAAAGACCTTCATTACATTTCCTGGTTTAATTTGGATAACTGATCTTAAGTAAATATAGTTTCTAAGTGTAAGTTACTGGGCCTGGGGCTTTTGAAACTGAGTACCCAACACTGAAATAAATGCCCCTAAGAATAAAGCCCAAAATTTCTCTGTGGCTTGGCTGTGTAATGGTAGCTATTCACAAGAGAGTCTCTGCTTCCTTATAGTATGCTAGATCAACCACAATCTGTGGAATAAACCACAAAAAACACATAACCATATGTGCATCTGTAAGCTTTTGACATGAGAACCAGTATGATTGCCCTGTTCCCCGGGCATTGTACAGTCTGAAGTCCTGCAGGTAAGAAAAGCATGAGGAAATCCTGCTCTGCAAATGATCTCTGCTAGTTATATTTTATATGGGAGCTAAAAGTTAGTTTGCTGGAGTAGCTAATCTTGTGGTTGGCAAGCTGTATTTATGTGGTATCCCCACACTGCTGGTTCGATTGCGATCTGATGGTGGCTGTAAAGTGATCTTGACAGCTATGCCCGTTGTGTTCATAAGGCATCTAGAATGCTGAAGTGCCACCAAGCTGAAAAAGAGCCTAAGTAGTAATATAACACGCTATCTATTCTTCCAATAATATTTTGTGTGTTTGTCTTCTGTTAAAGATCTTGCTGACTTCAGCAGCCCTTAGGCAAGATCATACTATATCAGGAACTTGCACAACATGTTTTACAGAACTAAAAAAAAAGCCTTCAGCAGCCCTGTATTATTGGTATACTGGCATTATTTTCCCCATATTATCAGTTGAATAATTGACTTAGAGGGAGGTTGTATGACTTGCACTAATTTAGCCAGGGAATTCTGTGGCAAAGCCGCATTGTAGAAGTCTTTAGTGATGAGTATCTTATCCAGTCAGACAGCTCTGTCTTTGTTTTATTATTTCACATTTTTACTATTCTTCCTAGCACTGTACTGACTTTAAAACATTTTGGCAAATATTTTTCCTGATAAACTTGTTAGAATCTTCAGTGCCTTCAGGTTCATCTATCTCTGACTGCAATATTCAGTGAAGTTCTAGGATTAATAAAACAAATTTCTGTTTAACGTCTCTTAGAATGAAATTGTGCTAGTCTCCTAAATATGTCTTGTAAATGATGAAGTGAGCAATTAGATTTTGAACAATATATAATGATGAGGTAGGTATAGACACTGCCACCAACTGTATCATTTCTTCTCAGGTTTGCTAGTAAATCTCTCTCAATACTGACAATAATCTATCAATACTTCTGAAAATAATTAGACCTAAGAACCAAGCCAAACTAAATGTAGCTGAACTGAAGATGCTTTTATAAAAACTACTTGAATATTTCTTTCTGTCTGCCACTGTATATTCTTCCTCATCTGCAACTAGGAACATAAATACATATTGCTTCTTTATGAAAATATGTCTGTACTAGTTACCTATCTGTGCCATAGCCATTGTTTCTGTAGGTTGTTTGATGTGGGACATGTGCAATAAAATAAGCTAAGAACTGAGACCAGAACAGTTCAAAAAGCACTGATAGAATAAACTTTTCAGAGACCTAAATTACGAATGAGCTTCTTTTAGCTAGCACATGTGTTGCAATGGATTTAAGTACCAAAAATTTGATTAACTGAGTACCTAAGGCTGCCTATTGCAAAATTGTTTGATATAAAACAGTACTATTCAATCGTTAACAGGAACTTAACAAATCTGTCTGTCTTGGTGAATAGCTATACATGTTACAATAATAGATAAACATAAAGGCTATACACCCTTCATCTTTCCAGGAAAAGTAAAAATTGTGACCGGAACAGGATTCTGCTAAGGACAGCAGTGCATTTTCTCTAATGATGTGCATGTTCTCCCATGAGAGCAGCTATTAGAGATGAGCTATGAGAGCAGCTATTAGAGATGAGCTATGAGAGCAGCTATTAGAGATGAGCTATTAGAGCAGCTATTGTCAGATGAACGCTTGAAATTCACTCACCTGTCCCGCAGGGCCGATGGAGGCTGCAGAGTAAGAGGCAAACATGTTGAACAGCTCTTGTTCTCCTTGAGGCTGCTTGGCCAGCAACCTAAGTTGACACAAATGGTGTGTTAGCTTACTCTGTGCTACACGGACAATAGGAAAATGAGTTCACTGGTCTATGAAATAACTTGCCTATAGTTAAGCCAATTTTAAAAGGCATTATTGTGAACAGCATGTTATATCCCGGTAACAGAAAAGAAAGGTTCCTATCTGTGAGTTTATATATTTGGATTCCATTGAACGTAATGTGGATCTGCACATTTTGCACAGCAAAGTCAGTGGGATTTTTCCTGTTTCCTTCCCATTGTTGTTCCTGTTAGTGGGATAATATGTAGGTATATCCATGTTCCTTATTCTTTAAGGCATTGACACACTGTGGAATGAGTCGAGTTGAAAATAATGCAGACAGTTGTGTAGTGAAGTTGTGGAAATCCATGATGCAAGTTCATCCAGAACACTCTGCAGACTCAGTCTTATGTGCAAAACTGGAAGCAGTTGACTGAAGAGGACTATGAAGGACTGAGACTCCAATTTGAAGATAAATCAAAATTATCAAGATTTATTATATTCAAAAAGAGATGAAAAACAGAAACAGCTATGCAATTACGTGAAGAACCTAGGCAATGAACTCCTGTTACCTGTCTCGAAACATAAAACCAGAGGATAGTAAATTAAACGAGGGTAAGAATTTTAATGAGGATCGTATCAGGATCTTCCTCCAGGGTAGTGTTTTTGACATGAAGAACTTATCACGATTTGAAATACAGAATTAAATTTGATTGGATTTTCATGCCTGTAGTAGTT